TTGGTCAGAGGAGGGGATTATGAAGGGACAGGAAGGGGCCGTGTGCAGATTTGAACGGTAGACCGCGCAGGAAAGATTACGACATCATAACTCTGTTGTAAACTCTGATCCTCGGCGCATGTGGCAGGGCATCCAGGCCATCACCAACTACAAACCCAGCCAGTCCACAGCCACAGACGTCTCCTTCCTGAACGAGCTAAATGACTTTTATTCCCGCTTTGATAGAGACAATAAAGAACCCTACACCAGGATCACTTCCTCCACCGACCACTCACCTATCACACTCACCTCCTCAGAAGTACATGCGGCACTGAGTCGTATCAATGTGAGTAAAGCTGCTGGACCAGACGATATTCCTGGGCGTGTCCTCAAAGCATGTGCAGAACAGCTCGCTGGGGTATTCACAGACATTTTCAACCTGTCGCTCAACCTAGCAGCTGTGCCAACATGCTTTAAAACCACCTCTATTGTGCCAATGCCCAAACACTCCAGCCCAACATGCCTGAATGACTACCGCCCTGTAGCACTCACACCCATCATCATGAAGTGTTTCGAGCGATTGGTCCTGGCACATCTAAAAGACTCTCTGCCATCCAAACTGGACCCACATCAGTTTGCCTACCGTGGCAACAGGAGCACAGATGATGCAGTCTCTATAGCACTGCACTCTGTACTCACACACCTGGACAATAAAAACACTTATGCACGAATGCTGTTTGTGGACTTCAGCTCAGCATTCAACACTGTTATACCCTCCATGTTACTGATCAAACTCAGAGACCTGGATATCGACACATCACTCTGCAACTGGATTATGGACTTTCTGACTAACAGACCTCAGAATGTTAGATCAGGCCACATCTGCTCCACCTACGTCACACTCAACACTGGTGTAACACAGGGCTGTGTGCTGAGCCCCTTCCTCTACTCCCTTTTTACCGTTGACTGTAGGCCTGTTAATAGATCCAACACCATCATCAAATTTGCAGATGACACCACAGTGATTGGTCTAATCAGCAACAATGATGAGACGGCCTACAGGGAGGAGATACAGCATCTGGCCACTTGGTGCACCGACAATAATCTGCTCCTTAACACCAACAAGACCAAGGAGCTCATTGTGGACTTCAGAAAGGGACGAACAGGCTCACATAATCCTATCCACATCAATGGGATGGCTGTTGAGCCTGTCTCATCCTTTAAGTTCCTGGGGACCCACATCTCAAATGACCTTTCCTGGACCACCAACACCTCCAGCCTGATCAAGAAGGCTCACCAGCGCCTATTCTTCTTAAGGCAACTGAAGAAGAACCAGCTTTCATCAGCCGTCTTGGTGAACTTCTACCGCTGCACAATAGAGAGCATCCTGACAAACTGTGTCACAGTCTGGTATGGAAGCTGCTCTGTTGCTGATCGTAAGGCACTGCAGCGGGTGGTGAAAACTGCCCAACGCATCACAGGGACCACACTGCCAGCCATAGAGGACATCCAGAAGACACAGTTTGCGCCGAGCATGCAGTATTCTGAAGGACACCTTTCACCCCGCTCACAGACTGTTTTCTGTCCTGCCCTCCGGCAGGCGCTTCAGGCTCCCCCGGACAAAAACCAGCAGACTGAGGAACAGCTTTTTCCCCAGAGCTGTCTCCCTCCTGAACTCTGCCCCCCACTGACTCTTTTGCCCCCCAATACACCCCCCACTCTCCTCTAACTTAAACTCCTCGCAATAACTGCACTGTTTAACATTTGCACATTTAAAAATTTGCACATTAACTGCACCACATTGAACTGTTTACTTATTGAACTGTACATACCCACTGCATATGGACATTTGTAATTATGTACACACCCACTATACATATACACTTGTAATCATGCTTATTTATCTGCATACTACTGATTATTAATAGCAACCTGTACATATATTCATATATTGTTACATATACACTTGTAATCATGTTTATCTATACCTGTACATATATTCATATATTGTAACATATACACTTGTAATCATGTTTATTTATCTGCACACTACTGATTATTAATAGCAACCTGTACATATATTCATATATTGTAAATCTGCTCATAGCTTATCCAACCTGTATATAATGTTCATAGTACATCCATCTGTAAATATCACCATAGTTTTCTATAACTGCACTTTATAACTTATTCCTGTATCCTGCACTTGCTGCTATTGCACTGCTGGTTAGACCTAAACTGCATTTCGTTGCATTGTACTTGTACATGTGTAATGACAATAAAGTTGAATCTAATCTAAAGATCAGTATCCATAGCCCCCCAGTAGGGACACTGATTCCACAGAGTAACACGAATAGTGCATTTTGCAGAAAATAACTTTTGGTACGTGTAAAAATGAGTAGGGAGAGGAAGAGCGTTAGGACTTGTAGAGAAAGACTGAGGGAGGTTGGAAGGGCGATAGTATTGACGAGGGTTGAGAGTGGAAGGGATGTCTTGAAGAGTAGAGCTGGAGTTTTCACTGGAATGTATTGCCAAAACACTACAAATGGCTGTTTTCAACTATATTTCCATTTTTTAACTCACATAAAACTGCCTGAAAGCTTGGAAAAAACATTACCTACTGCTTACTCATCTGCTTACATCACCTTCCTTGCCACTCCACACATTCAACACAATTTCTCAATCCAGCTGGGATCATCCACCATTACCCCCATGTATTTCAGTAAAGAGAGGACATTGCTAACACCGCTCCATTATGCAGATGTGCATTTTTCAATGTCAGAAAAATCAGACTCTTCTTAACAGATCATGCTGCACAACTTTTAGTGCAAACTCTTGTTGTTTCAAGGCTGGACTCTGATAGTGCTCTGCTAGCTGGACTCCCATCCTGCACCATTAATCCTCTATGCTCCAGAACACTGAAGCTCATCTGGTCTTCAATGAGAGCCCATGTAACTCCTCTCTTTATCTATCTGCATTGGTTACCGTTCGAGGCTCGTATCAAGTTAAAATCACTGGCACTGCAATCTCTTAGCTCCAACTACTGCTGAAGTTCTACATTCCCTTCAGGAGCCTCCAATCTGGAAGTGAGTGCAGGCTATAAATCACTTTTATAAAACCTTTTCATTGATTGTTTTATGCTGGAGACATGTCTTCCCATTCCCAACTATATGTAAGATTCTTAGTCTCAAAACTAAAATAAGATAAAAAACTAAACAACATTAATCCATGCACAGCACTATTTATTTACAAAATCCAATTCATAAATTCAAAAACAATTTGTAAATTAACAAAAATTGGATTTGTGAATTTAAGAATTGTGTGTTATTTCAAAAAAATTCCAGAGACCTAAGGAGATCACAAAATTTTTCATACTTTGTTATAATTTGTCAATAATAAATACCCTGAGCATAATGGTACGAGGCATGGGCCTGCCCTGGATGGCAACTGCTCATTTGAAGGCCATTGGGATGGACCAAACCAGATCACTTAAAAACCTCTCGTAACAGTAAAACTTTGCATTTTGCATTCTGCTGCTCTCTCCCCCCTCTCTCCTAGCTCTTGGACACTGCAGCGCCATGCAACCTCTTAAAGTTTAGGAACTGCCGAAACTGCAAAAAACTTCAGCAAACCGACTTTTAGCAGAGTCTTTCGCCCCGGTAATCCAGGACAACTTCAACTTACAAGCGAGTGAATCCTAAGGACGTCACTGAAGCTAAGTCACCAACCAATCAGCACTGCCATGTTTCGTTGAGCCCAGTCGGCGAAGGAAACTCAAACAGATGTTGTCTCTTGCTGATCTGGTGCAAATTGATCTGAAGCAGTTAAAGATAAGCAAAATCTCTGCTTTTAGGGTTTCCCAGGTGTGATTCTAAGATCTAGTAATAAGACCTAAAATTAATTTGGGACCATTGTCAACACATTTTGCACAAGCACCAGAATTAAGAACCACTGCTCTGAGGCTTCATCTTGGTTTATAGTTGAACAAGCCATCCTACTTCCCTTCCACCACTAAAATTTCTATCTATATATCTATCTATATATGTATTCATTTTATTTTTTAAAGGTGTTATTTTTTAGGCTGACCTCAAAAACATAATAATTTTTACTTACAGAATTGTAGGTGCAGGCTAGGACGGTCTCTGATATTTGCAGATAACATTGTGCTTTTGGCTTCATAGGACATGGAACTTCAGCATGCATGGTTTGCTGCATTATGGTTTGCTGCTAAGTGTGACATGGCAGGAAAAAGAAACAGCACCTCTAAGTCAAAACCATGGTGCTTGACTGGAAAAAGGTGCCCATCTCCAGTTTGTAGGAGAGTCCTTACCCCAAATGGAGTTTAAGTATTTGCATTAATTTATTTTTTCTTCATGTGGAATGGAATGTGAGATTAAAAGATGGATCAGTGCAGTGGCAGCAGTAATGCAGTTGATGTGATTGTCTGTTGTGGTGAAGGAGCTGAGATGAAAGGCAAAGTTCTCAATTTACCACTCAATCTAGGTTCCTACTCTCACCTATGGTCATGACTGAAAGGTCAAGATCTCGGATACAACCGGACACATTTTACAAAGTGTTATGGCCCGCTTGTTTGAGTTGCAACATAAAAGAGAGATGAGCCAACAAAATAGCCTAAATGCAAAACTATTTATAATAAAATGTAACTCATAGAACAATCAATCAAAGCAACCAACAAATGTCTAGGGATAATAATGAAGATAAAGAACTTAGGATATAATCACAACAACACTTTAACTACATGATAAAAGTAATGCAATACAAAACCATAAGGTTTAAGAGTCAATGAGATGGCAGGTCTTGACATGAGGACTCCAGAGTAGCAACACCTTTCTGGGGTAGCTAGCGGAGTCTATGTAAATGGTTTCTCTCCAGTGTGGGTCTTCATGTGTTTATTAAGGTCTGATGAGTTACTGAAACTCATCCCACATCGAAGCTGCAGTCACACTAGAGTTTGAGCATGAGGGGCGAGATTAAACAAGATGATTCGACGTGAATGGTTTCTCTCCAGTGTGGCTCATGATGTGTCGATTAAGGGATGATGATTGGCGGAAACTCTTTCCACACTGAGTGCATGTGAATGGTTTCTCTCCAGTGTGGATTTTCATGTGACTGTTAAGGTGTGACAATTGGTTGAAACTCTTCCCACACTGAGTGCATGTGAATGGTTTCTCTCCTGTGTGGATTTTCATGTGTTTATTAAGGTGTGACGATTGGTTGAAACTTTTCCCACACTGGGTGCATGTGAATGGTTTCTCTCTAGTGTGGATCCTCATGTGTTTATTAAGGTATGATGATTGGCTGAAACTCTTCCCACACTGAGTGCATGTGAATGGTTTCTCTCCAGTGTGGATTTTCATGTGATCGTTAAGGTGTGATGATCTGTTGAAACTCCTCCCACACTGAGTGCATGTGAATGGTTTCTCTCCAGTGTGGATTTTCATGTGTTTATTAAGGGTTGATGATCGGTTGAAACTCTTCCCACACTGAGTGCATGTGAATGGTTGCTCTCCAGTGTGGATCCTCATGTGAAGATTAAGGTATGATGAGCAGCTGAAACTCTTCCCACACTGAGTGCATGTGAATGGTTTCTCTCCAGTGTGGATCATCATGTGAATCTTAAGATGGCCTTTTCTTCCAAAACTCTTTCCACACTGAGTGCATGTGAATGGTTTCTCTCCAGTATGGATCCTCATGTGAATCCTAAGATCGCCTTTTCTTCCAAAACTCCTTCCACATTGAGTGCAGGTGAAACGATTCTTGTCTCTCCTTTTCAAAATACCATCAGTCTGTAAATGAGTTTTTTCCTCAATTTTGACATGATGTTCCTCCTCTTTACTCCCCTCATTCTCTTCAATTCGGTCTGAAATAAATAAATAAATAAAATAAGTTTTTATTAAGTCTTAAACATTCTCATTAAAAGCTGAAAAGTGAAGACACTGGAAACATTGGCTACACACACTGTAATTTTGATTCACATTAAATGTAATATAAATCAGATCATATTTTGTTTGGTCAATTAACGTGTACACATTTAAGCAGATTTAATTCATCTTTATTTATCTAGTGCTTTTACCATGTAAAATGTGTCAAAGCCGCTTAACATAGAAGTTATATTATATGGACTCTATGCACGAACTCTGCTGACGTGGTTCTGGTAGAATATCAGTCAGGCTCTTTACGTCTACATAGGCGCTCTACGCCGAAATCTAATAGCGGCGAAACCTAAATGCATCAGAGGATGGCAAAAAAGGGAAATTTACTCTTAAATTGATGATGATCTAGTGCCAGTGGATGTCCAGCATCTGGAACATAATTTTTGTTCAGTTCCAGAACCCACAATAGTTGATTAATACACCAGATCAGTCTGACAATTTCCGTGAAGAGGTGGAATGACCAAAAGGAGACTGCGAGTATTTATATGCAAAACCTAATCAAAGTACCCATTGGGTCTTAAAAGCATTTATAAAAGTCTTAAATTTGATAATCTCAAATTAAGGCCTTAATAGCCTTGAATTATTATACAAAGTCTTGGGTTTTGTTACAAAGGTCTTATTTTAATAATTTATATTACCTTTCTTAGAATTAAGTTCATATAATAACAAAATTAACTGTAACTAATGTAAGCTAACTAAAAAAATCATGCAGCGCAACGTTGAGTACATCTCACGCTCCACGTAATAGCAGAAAGCACGAAAGCATGCACACCCTGTTACTATGGTTACTTGATGTGAGCTACAGAACAAGATCGTTACTAGTCTAGTTTGTGGGTTTGTTTAATCCGCTTTGGCCAAGGAATCCGAATTACATTTGGGTCAAACTTTTAAGCTAGCAACGATGGATGTTACAGCCCTGGACTCCCATATAAGGGGTGCCAAACACACCGTGTGTAGTACTGCTCATCAGCGCAAACACCTATTGTAGAGTTCTGTGCACTGGAGACCACTTCGGTTACTAAAACACCTTTGGCTATCAGTAATTAGGAAATTTCTACATTAGAAGCATTGAAACCACGGAGTGTTGGGCAGTAGCATCGCTACAAGTAGTGACGGTACTAGCGTAACTATATTTCTCAGTAGCGTCACTACTTTCTAAATCAAATAGCTTTTGTGTAGCGAAGCTATTATTTTAGTCAAGTAGTGTCCACACAATCTACATATACTGATTGCGGATCAATAAGTGACGGCACTGACACTCACGTAGCTTGGAGGCCGGTGTCTAGGCGATAAAAGTAAATCCATATTTTGTCGAGAATGTTAATTTCTTCTTTCTGTTTTACAATGGTCGACAACAAACTTTTTCATCATTGGGCTGACACGAGAAGCTTGATTGAAAGATGAATGAGTGATATATATATATATATATATATATATATATATATATATATATATATATATATATATATATATATATATATTAGGGATGTAACGGTATTGTAAATTAACTTAATTCGATATTACCGTAGTAATCCACCTAGCTCTGTTGGCATCTGCAGAGATTTAAGTTTTTTTGCCATTCCATATAAATCTAGAAAAAGCACTTTCAAGCTGTGCAGAGTCTTTCCTGCTTAACCATAAGGGTGTCATTTGAAAAGGGTATAATAATCGGGGGAGAATATTCATCTTAATTAAGCTTATTCTACCAAAGAGTGAAAGGGGAAGGGTTTGCCAGCGGTTTAAGTCTTTTTTTCAAGGGGGAGCTTGAGCTTGAGCTCCACCTTTTTTGCACTTCTTCTCCGAGTGATGTCACTGGGGGTAGGGTTAGGGGTGGGGTTGGTGTACGCATTAAAACAGCTTACAGGAGGCAGAGCGAGAGCTCATGCTCCCCCTCGCTAGAGCTCAGCTCTGCTCAAATGGCTCTGCAGCGAGCACCCTCTCCTTTTTTTTAGACCATTTGAACAATTGGGGCATAATTGAGTTTCCCTAATTTATTTAAGTCAGTTGACACTTTAATTCCGAAATAAACAAATCCAGATTTTGACCATTTAAAAGGAAAATTTACTGTAGATTCAGCATCGAAATTACCTACTGGCAATGCTTCTGATTTATTAAAGTTAATTTTGTAGCCAAAATCTAAAGCTAAAGCTAAATTTTTTTGCAGCAAAAAAAAATTGCAGCTAAAAAAAAGCTAAAATTTTTAAGCTAAAATCTTTAAAAAATGATAGTGTTCAGGTGATAATAAAAACAGCAGAATATCATCTGCATAAAGTGCAATTTTGTGTTCACAACTCTTCATTGATATACCCTTTATATGTTTATTCTGTCTGATAGCTTTTGTTAGAGGTTCCAGAGCCAATGCAAACAGAAGAGGGCTCAGTGGGCAGCCCTGCCTGGTGCCCCTAGCAAGTGGAATAGGATCTGACCGTAGACCATTAGTAACAGTGCAAGACATTGTGGAGTGATAGATCATTTGAATCTCTTTTAGAAATTCACCCTTTATACAGAATATATGCAGAGTTTCAAACAGATAACTCCACTCAACCCTATCAAAAGCTTTCTTTGCATCTGAAGATGCAGAGATTGCTTTATAGTTTTGTTGATTGGTGTACTGTATAACTTTCATAAGTCTTCTTATATTTGTAATAGAGAAGTGTTCTGTACAAAGCCTGTCTGGTCTGGGTTTATAATGTGGGGGAGAACTATGTCGAGTCTCCTGGGCAGGAGCTTAGAGAGTATCTTGGCATCTATCCCAATCAAGCAAATAGGTCTATATGAACTACATTCATCAGGTGATTTATTTTTCTACCACTCGATTTGAACATTTTTAACCTGCTTGGAAAACCAGATTGAGACAAATCCTGCATGTTCGTAGCAAGTGCGCATAATTTACGCTTATATTAGTGATTTTGCATTATTGTATAAAACGTATGCAAATGCCTAATGCCTCCTTTGCTGTAAACTTGAATGATGAGAAGATGGCAAGATGACATACTTTGTTACATGTTCTCAATCATTTGTACTTTCGTCTTTGTTTTCTTGCCTTTGTGCATGTCCTAAAGCTTAGCTGAAGACCTACGTGGCGACATTGTATATACCCAACAAGATGCAGAAATGCCATCTAAAAAGGTTTCCTGCTGTTTGTCCAATCAGGGACAGTGGCAATGTAAATATACAAATAATAATGTTAACCCTGGGTTTGTGAATGTGAAACATCTGTTAATGAACATCTAGGATTGTATTTTAACCCCAGGTATAACATGAGCAGTGTGGAACGTGATTACAGATAACCCAGGATTCTGTTTATCCAGCGTTAGAATGACCCAGGGTTAACAATTTTTGCATGCTGTAATCCATATCTAAATCAGCAAAAGTCTTTTTTAGACTAGTTTGTTGGCCAGATGTAGTCAGTGCAATGCTAAACATTATTGTTCCACCATAATTTGTTTGTTTTGCCTCATGTCGTCCCACAACAACATCATATAGTTTAGAATACTGTACAATGTTTTAAAATAATTAATTATCTAAGTGTCCATTTCATTCAGAATATTTAATATTGGGGGCATCCACGATTTTTGACAAACTTCAAACAAGACCATTTTGGTTATTTGGTGTTTGAGAATGAAAATCAACCTGTTTGTTCCTGCAGATCTTCCTGTTTGACTATGATTGTTTCTTCAATCTTCACATCTTCACTCTCCTCTTTAATAAACTCCATCTTAATAACAGTGTGGAGATCAGTCGCTTCAGCAGGAGTTTTTCTCTGCGTTTGGACACTTTATCCTGTTTAAAATGAACAAAACAATAAAAAAATTTTAAATAAATAAAACAATGAAGAGAAACAAAATAACTTCTCAACACTTGCTTCAACAGTTTCTTTATATGAGAGTCATTAACAAAAACAAATCAGGTAACTCTGAGGAAGAAACAATGACCTGATTAAAACTAGTAAGTTACTCCATTTCTTTTATACTTAAAATGGAATGACATTATGCTATGTAATAAATTAAAAGGTTATTAAAATATGTATTAAATTTCTGTTAACTTATTCAAACAATAGCTCTCATTACTGTCAGTAAAATAGTATTACGTTGTATAAAAGGTTAAATAATATTGTCAACAGCAGGTTCTTAATTTAGCATCAGATGAAAAACCTGAAACTTTAATCAATCAGTTCATATTTTTGTAAAAGTTTTAAACACAAACCTCTCTCCGGTTGAATTCCAGCGCAGGAACGGTGCAGCCTTATGACGTCACACGTCACGCCAAAATAAAAGTTTTTTGCAACTTACTGTTGCAGTCATGACTTATTGATACATTTCTCCCTCATTTTCCACTTTCCGCTATATCTGCTCTCTGTCTCTCTCTCACTCTCTATCACACACACAACACACACACCTTGATTATAAATGAATCATTGTAAATACACTGATTATTATTTTTATTACTGTTTTATCTTAAAATGTTGATTGTTAAATGTAAAGTATATTCTGATCTATTTTGTATTGATTTGTATGAATAATATATGTTGAACAGTAATATAATGTATTGAATATTAATGTGATATATTGAATAATATGATGTATTGTTAAAATGTTATTTACTTATTATATATAAATATCTTTCTTTTTTATTAGAGAGATTAGAGAGAGAGAGAGCAAGGGGAAGTTGAAGTGAAAAACGAGAGAGAAATGTATTAATAAGTCATGACTGCAACAGTAAGTGGCAAAAAAGCGAAACAAAAGACTTTTATTTTGGCG